TTTTCTTTAAATCCAATTTTGTTTTTAATTTTGTTAAAATCCTAAACAAAGTCGGATTCAAAAACAAAAATATGGAGTTGTAGGGCTTAAAATTCCCTACAACCATATATATATTTTTTTATTTTTTACCTATTATTTAATTCAGGAGAATTCGTGTAAAATCGGGTCCACGGTGCGGACCAGGTAGGGCGCGGATGCGGACCCATTTGGGTCCACGATCCGAGCTCGACCCCGCGGACGCGTCCGCGGGTGTTTCGTAGGTGATGGGCTGGTGTATTCTTTCAATCGGATCACCACGAGAGCTTGTTGTTACCTACTCTGTTTTCTAGTGTTCATGTATGTGTGTGAACAATCTCGCTGCAGCACTCTGCACCGATACTAATATCTGCCAGATATCAAGAACTATAACCAGCCAAGGGAAGCTACTTGGAGTTTGGTGTTAGTGATTGTTGGAGCTACTACGGGATTTTGAAAGGTGAAGGAGGAAGAGAAAAGAGTGAGGCGCGCAAGGTATCAGTACGAGAGCAGGAGACGTGTCAGAGAAGGATCTGGTCAATGGTCAGAGATGAGTTACCGAAGAGAAGAGCCGTGGGGGAGAAGAGACAAGTACCGAGGTTACGAGAGCGGAGGACGGGATAGTGGGAGTGAAGGAAGAAGGGATAGAAGGAGGGATGAACGACGCGACAGGAGATATGAAGAACGGCGAGGAGGGTCTTCTGACGACTATGGGAGGAGAAGTTACATCGATGGTGGGAATACAAGACAAGTCAAGTGTTACGAGTGCGGGGAACCTGGTCACTATAAAAGCCAATGTCCACGTTTACACCGCCAAGGAGGAGAGATCGTAACGATGAGTAGAGAGCTGGAAGACTCGTTGGCTTCCGTTGGACGAATGGCAAGACAGTTGCTGGATCAACAAAGGGAAACTGAGGAAGCACGAAGAGAAGCGGAAGAAAAGAAGAAACGCGAAGAAGATGAGAGGATTGCGAAAGAGGAGGCGGTGAGGATTGAAATGGAGAAAAAACAAGCGAAGGAAGAGAAGGAGCAAAAGAGACAATGGGCGACAAAGAAGATCCTTGCAGAACAGAGAGAAGAGTACGAAGAGAAGCTGGCCAAGATTGTGCGCTCAGGGTTGAAAGGAGTAACGATTGGAGGTAAGAAGAAGAAGAAAGAGGCGGTACAAGCGCCATCGTTGGGATCCGAGGAGGATAACGAAGGAGAAGAGGAAGCTACACCTCTGAAGGATAAGAGGAAACGGCGAGAGTCAACGGGAGCGGCCGTGAACAGTCCGCCGGTGGAAGGTACACCGAAACAAGAAAAGCTTGAAAATGTCGGAACACCAGGGAGCGCCAGAGCAAAGAAGGGGAGAGGAAGACCATCGAGAGCCGACACCCAAGCGGCGAGAATGGAGAAGGGCCAAGACCCATGGGAAGGAGTTCCAATGGGTGACAAGTATGCAACCGAAGCAGCATTTCGGAAGGCAGTCAGGAAGACTCTGGGGTCCTTTTACCCAGATACGCTGAAGATTATGTGTATGGGTGCAGGGTTGCCTTTTTATGGCGTGAATGATGCAGTCGATGTTCTGACAGAACTACGGGTGACTTACTGTTACAGGAGGAAGGTCGCAGGTTCCACTTCAGGTAAGGGGACGAATGATGAGCAGATGAGGGGATAGATCCAGGATCCCCAGGTTGAGTCAGACGTGTTACTCAGATTCATGGAAGTTTCTGTTGGAATTCTTTAAGTGTCGTCTCTGGTGTAAGCTGAACATTAAAGTTACGGGCCTGGTTGATCTAGCAGAGAAAATACTGAGGAACGCGCTGCCGCTGTTAATTCTTGAGAACAAAGTTACGTGGGGAAGGAAATATGTGGAAAGCATTTGGGAGGTTTTCGAGAGGAGTCGCGAGAGTTGGGATGACCCGAGGTCTTGTGTGTATGCTCTGATTAACCCTTGGTGTAAGGTAGTGTACGTCCGAAAAACAGAGAGATCTCTCAAGGATAGGTGGTCGGAGCATATAGGGAGGGCAAGGACGGTCCAAGGCGGACAGAAAAATAAACTCTATAAGTGGTTACGGAAGTGGGGATGGGAGTCATACGTGGCAGTTTCACTAGCTGTCGCTGAGAAAGGTGAGTTGAACCAATTGGAGAAGGTGTTAATTAAGCGATGTTGTCCGATCCTAAACGCGACTAGATGGAACGATGGAAAAAATAAAGGGAAAGGAAAGAGGAGAGGAAGAAGGGAGAGAAAGATGAAGAGTGGTGGTTAATTTTGCGATGATGAGAGAGTGGTGCGTTTCCAGGCGATAAATGAGGAGAGAAAAGGAAGGCTGACCGAGGTAATAGAATCTTTAAAGGGGAAGAAATCTAGGGAATTTAAGTCAAGTAAGGGTAGAATTTGGATCGAGGACTGAAGCGTGGTGAAAAGAAGATTTGGTGAGTCCGAGGTGATTGTCAAAGGGGAGAAGCGGAAATTGAAACAGGTCAAAAAAGAGTTGGAAAGCGCGTGTTCCTTACGAATCACAAGGATCCGGGAAAGGCATCCAAGAGATCCTAAGCTGGTGAAGTTGCTTCATCGGATTTTACGAGCCCCCTGGTCAAATAAGAAACTGGAGCTACTCACCCTAGAAGAATCGGCTAACCTTTTCTGTTGTATCAACAGCTTCTCTAGGAAGAGTACTAGGAAGACCCTAAAGAATATTGTCGATGGGACAGTTCGAAGGAGGTTTAATGTTAGTTTGCGGCGAAGGCTAGTAGTAGGGGTTAGGTACGATGAAAAAGTGTCAAAAGCGAAGATTCGTGAAAGGCTGGTGAGTAAGATTTGCACGCTGTACGACTCGGCGACAGTCTCGAAGCTACGGTGTCAGAAGCTCCGTCTCGTCTCGAGAAGAAACTAGACATTCGGTGAACTTCTCCATAACCATAGGCGGATAAGCCGTCAAATGGGAACGGTCTGTAGGTGTGCAGGCCTGAACCTCCCGAGGCAGGGAGGACACGTAGTATTCCGACTTGGAAGCCGAAGCGAGGTTGACGAAAGGGTGCGGAACTCCAAGAACGTGGTGCAAGCCTTCGATTGCGAAAAAGATGAGGTGCGATTGTGCAAAGAATTGAACAACGAGATGCTAAAGGCCAGGTTGGAGGTGTCGTGGTCGATACACGAAGCGAGGGAATGTATCAGGGAAATGAAGAAGGAAGGAGATGGGTTGATGGACCGGGTAGATGAAGTGAAAAGAAGATGGGAAGGGTTGGTTTTCTGTCCGCTGGATAAAAATCCGGCAAGGACACAGGTTATGTGCCCAGTCAAATATATAGAAGCTTCAAGAAGGTATGAAAGGAATGTTATGGGAGAATAAAACTTTTGATGTTGTATGGGGGAGTGAGGAGGAGGTGATGGCGAGAGTTGGAGGAGGTGATGGCGAGAGCCAAGAGGGAGTACGTGAAGAAAGGGCCAAACTCCCTCGCAAAATGGGACAACCAGGGGGACTGGGGGAAAGCCTATGTGCTTCCAAAACATAAGGATTCGGCGAAGTTTCGACCGATTTCCCCCTCCTTCTCTGAGCCTGCGAAGATGGCTAATCGACAAGTAGCAAAAGCGTTGAACTTCCTGCTGTTTTCCCTGCCGAAAAATGAGCACTTCAACCCTGAAGTCGACGAGCCGCTGAAGAGCAGACTGGAGGATGTATGCAGATGGGCAGAAAGAAAGAGGAATGGGGAGCTAACAGGAGCAGCTTACGACATCAAAGAAATGTTTAGTAAGCTGCCTCATGAGTCTATACGGGAGGCAATCGAATGGATTTTAAGTAGGTATGAGAAGGAAGGTAAAAATTGGGTCCTAGTACGGGTGAGGGAAAAGGTGCGTCGTTTGGAAAGAAGAAAGGGGAAGATGGCTGGATGAGACTGAGTTTTGATCTAATTAGAGCAATGATCGAGTTCGACCTCGATAATACCTACATGTGGGCCTCTGGGAGGCTAATTCGACAGAAGGAGGGCATCCCGATGGGAAAATCGAGTAGCCCCCCGATTGCCTGTATTTTATGTACCTTTTATGAGTCAAAATTTCTGGAAAAGTTGGGAAAGGACTCGAAACTGGTAAAGGGGGTTAGATTGGTCGACGACATTTCTTTGTTTGTTTGGGATGCATGGTTGAAAGACAGGAAGGGGAAAGCTGAAGAGATAAGGAAGATCTTCGAAGAGTGCTACGATTCAAATCTCACTCTGAAACGGACTGACGAAGGAAGGAAGGAGGGGGATTTTTTGGGTTGCCGAGTTCGGATAGAGGGGTCATCTGTGGACTGTTGGCATCGTGCGAAGAAATTTGCTGAAATCTGGGAGAGGAACGAAAGACTGAGTTACAGGTGCTTTCAAGACTATGACTCATACACCTGTGCCCGACAGAAGAGATCTCTGATCAACGGGATGCTGCACAAGATTAAGCAAACCACCATGTCGGTGGAAAGTGCGGGCGAATGTGTGCTCACGCTGAATCGCGGTCTGAGGCTGCAGGCCTATCCCGGGGAAATTTTTCGAAAGGTTCTGTTTCGATTTGTTCATGCGTGTTCTCCCGAAGGGGGCCCGGTAGTGTATGGCCTTCCGTTGAGCAGGTAGGGAGAGTCAGAAATGATGCTGTCTGTAGCTGTCGGATCCGTGGGGTTGTGGGCTCGACAATTCCTGTCCAGACGATCGGTGGTGGTTAGTCCTTTGTTTGGGTCTGTTTGGCCATGTTTTGCATTGTTTCTGTCTTTTGTTTCTGCTTCTGTGTCTTGTTTTTTATCGTTTAGGTGTTGGCCTTTCGCCCTGTCGTTTCGATGATTTTTTTGGTTGGCCTTGAGTAAGTTTACGAAGGGATTCGAACTATTAATCGTTAGGGAACGATAGAGTAGGCCTTTTGCAGTGAACTCTGCCCTGCCATCCATATTGACGCCCCGGCGCCGTTGACGCCCCGGCACCGAATTAATAGCGGAGGACGAAGGGGAGGGAATGGTGGAAACATAGGGTGTGCGGTCAGAGGAGAGGACGTGAAGATGGGCTGTTGTATTCTTTCAATCGGATCATCACGAGAGCTTGCTGTTACCTACTTTGTTTTTTAGTGTTCATGTATGTGTGTGAACAATCTCGCTGCAGCACTCTGCACCGATACTAATATCTGCCAGCCCGTGCAAGGACTACGGAGGGTCCCAGCAAAAAAAAACAAAATCCAAAAAATCTGAAAAACAACTATGTTATGCAGAAAAATAAACTGAATAACTTTTGCCTCAGGGTCACATCGAAATTCTTCACCAAATAGAGAATACAAAATAAAAAATAAAAAATCTAAAAAATACTAGGCTACCAGCCGGGCGGCCCGGGTCCCAGGTGGCCAGCCCGTGCAAGGACCAGGGAAGGTCCCAGCAAAAAAAAAAAAAAAAAAAAAAAAAAAAATCCAAAAAAAAACTATGTTATGCAGAAAAATAAATTGAACAACTTTTGCATTAATGTCACATCTAAATTCTTCACCAATTTTAAAATCAAAAATAAAACTTTAAAATATTTTTTTTTTCTTTATTTTTTTATTTTTTTTGCCCGGCCAGGCAAGTGACCCCAGGCCACTCTGGTAGCCTAGAAAAAATATATATATATATATTTTTTTTGGCCCGGTCGGGCAAGTGACCCCGTGTCACTCTGGTAGCCTAGATTGACGATATATATATATATAACATATAAAATAGAAAAAAATCGGTTTTTTCCAATTTTATTTTTATATCTTGTCATCTCTTTTTTTAATCAATAAAAATAAAAGGTTACTTAATTGCTTAATTATAAAGTTTTTCATTGATTAACCATGCGTTAATTAAAATTATCTCTTGAATATATATATATATATATATACAGGGTAACTGGCATTCGGGACGGGCCGAACGCTCGAACCCGAACACCTGAACGTATGGGACCCCTTGGGGATGCGTTCAGTCGTTCAGGCTGAACGCGGAGCAAAAAAAAAAAAAAAAAAAAAAAAAAAAAAAAAACTGAAACAAATCTGAAAAAACGATATGTTATGAAGAACAATTAAATATACAACATTAGCCTGAGCATAACATCCAAATTCCTTACCCAATTTGAAATAAAAATAAAATACTGGAAATAAAACTAATAAGAAAAATTAAAAAAAATTAAAAGAGAATTAAAATTAGTGAGTGAGCGAGCACGTTTTTGACACCGTGATCTTTGGCGATTTTTCATTTTTTTTTGGGGACAGCCAAATGCCCTGAAAATTTAAAGATGTGTACTTCACATAATACAAAATTCCCTAAAAACATTTCAAAAAATAATAAAATTGGCCCCGCAATAAAGTGAAAACAAAAAGTAAAAAGTGAAAAAAAATAAAATAGTGAGTGGGCGAGCACGTTTTGACACCGCCATCTTTGGTGATTAATTTTTGTTTGGCTTGGCAAAATGACATCAAAATATATAAGCATGTACCTCATATCATAGAGAACTCTCAGAAAACAATCCAGAAAAAAAACTCACTTTTAGACCCTGAAATTATTTTTGGCGGGGGCCGAACGCCGTCGGGTCTGGACCTCAAACGGGACCCCAAACGCCAGTACGTACGGAGGTCGGCCCGGGGACCTCTGTACATACGGGCTGATGACACTGTATATATATATATATATACAGGGTGGCCAGCATTCGGGATGGGCCAAACGCCCGAACCCGAACTCCCGAACGTACGGGACTCCTTGGGGATGCGTTCGGCCGTTAAGGCTGAATG